CCAACATGTCTATCAAGGCTATTGCTACTATCGCGCTTGCGGCTGGTCTCGCTGGTAAGTTCTCCAAACCAAACACTCAACCATATGACCCAACATACTAACGCACTACTCACAGCCGCAAAGCCCATCAACACCCCTGCTAAGCGCCAAATCGGCTTCAACTCCGTCGTCAACGGCTTCAACGGCAACGACGGCGCCTTCAACTTCATCGACGGCTTCAACAACTTCAACCAGCAACAACAAGTAATCCAGATCCAGCAGGAGAACCTCCAGATCATCGACAACGGACGTCAACAAGCCGTCGTCCAGCAAGTGGAGCAAGTCCTCATCGTCGACCAGGTCAACAACGGCTTCAACAACGACCTCAACAACCTCTTCCGCAAGAGCAACTTCCAGAACCAGTTCCGCGATGTCGCCACTGTTACCCTTGTTGTGCAGGAGATCCAGATCGCCATCGACGACGGCCGCGGCAACCAAGTCCAGCAAAACATCTTCGCTCAGTCCGCCGTTGTCGCTAACCGCGGCGCCCGCGAGACACAGACTGTCATGGTCTTCGACAGCCGCACGCTGATCGCCCAGGACATTCTCGGCGGCGACGCCTTCGGCAAGCTCGGTGGCTTCGGCGGTATCGCAGGCGCAACTGGCGCGTTGGACGGCGCCATGCCCACCAAGACGGCTGGTATCCAGCTCTTCGGTGCGAAGCCCACTTGGTCGGCTGTTGCCGAGGACCCAGCTGCGACTCTCGGTGCTATCTGGCAGGGTGCTCTTCAGGATCTCCAAGATGCGCAGAACGACGAGGCGGACAACAAGCTCAACGAGCAGATTGCTGCTGAGGAGTTGAAGGCGCTTCTTGAGGGCCAAGACGGCGAGGATGACAACAAGGATGGCGAGGACAACGCCGACGACAAGGCCGCTGAGGAGGAAGCCAAGAAGGCGGAAGAGGAGGCTAAGAAGCAAGAGGAAGAGCAGAAGAAGGCTGAGGAGGAAGCTGCCAAGGCCGACGCTGAGGAGGCTAAGAAGCAGGAAGAGGAGCAGAAGAAGGCTGATGAGGCTGCTAAGCAGGAGGCTGAGCAGGAGAAGAAGGCTGAGGAGGAGGCCGCGAAGAAGGAGGCTGAAGATGCGAAGAAGGCAGAGGAAGAGGCTGCTAAGAAGGATGCCGAGGAGCAGAAGAAGGCGGACGAGGAGGCTAAGGCTCAGGATGAGGCGGACAAGAAGGCTGAGGAGGAGGCGAAGAAAGCTGAAGAGGCCAAGGCTGCTGAGGAAAAGAAGGCAGAGTAAGATACTCTAGAGTGATGGCTCGCGCTCTCTGCAGCAGAGCGACGATGCGCGGAATATGTATACCCTGAGAGGCTTTTGTTAGTTGCTCTCTTACCTACCTAGGTAGTTCAAGTGCTGCGTTTGCAGGACCGGTATCAGCGAGACTGGACCGCGAAAATTGGTTACGAAATTGAATGAATAAATTTCCTTCTTTCACTACATGGCGCACTAGTCTAAATGCATTTACGGTGACGGGATGAGCTCGTGTTGATGTACTCACCTTCACTAATAGTGAAACGTCAATTTCTGCTGATTGTGACGACTTTTATCGGGTTATCTCTCCACACTATGGGCTTCGCATTCTCTCCCGATGTTAAATTATTAGGCATCGAGACTACAAACATGCCATCGCCTCCTGTATTACTGCGCCTCTACTGCAACAAGACTCGGCTACTGATCGGAAGCATACTGCTTTTCATCAGCCTGCATATATTGTTTGGTTGCTCAATCTTCAACCTTGTCCCATCGGGTACACCTGCTACCCCAAATCTCGCCAACGCTATACCCGAATCCATACCCTGGACTCCCAAAAGATTGCAAGCAGACCTGCGCATCTCAAAAGCGACCATATTATACAACTTCAGGCAACATGATAGAGACAATCTCGCCCTCGACGAACTCCACACCCAAAACTTCAGATACACAAGCCACATTCTCCAAACACCTATAGTGCGAGGCGCTCTGAACAAGTTCCTCTACCTCCAGTCTCTCATCATCACCGAACTTCAAAAACCAATCGAAGATCAAAAAGAATGGATACTCTACCACGACCCCACCGTCATCCTCGCAAATCCACACATACCACTCCACCACTTCCTCCCACCCATCACGGATGTCGAAACATTCAAGACCCTCTCGATCATTGCTACGAAATCCGAAAGCGAAGAACTGTATACGACGGTCTTCTTCATCCGGGTGAGCGGCGGTTCACTGCGTATCTTGACTGAAGCCATGGATATGATGTACAACTTGTCAGACAACGGAGATGAAGACGAGGAATTTAATGTGGCAGCGACAGTCCTCCAAACTACCCTAGCCCGCCCCCACCACCTCGAAAAGATAATCTACCAACCCCGGGAATGGTACAATAGTACCTCGTCTCTCTTCTACCAGCCCTACTATCTCACGGCGGCGCATCGTCTCCTCCCCGTCGACTACACCCAAATCATACAAGGTGACAAAGAAGGGAGCGACCCGATGTTTCCTGATGCAGACACGGTACACAGGTTTTGGCACGTTGTGAGTGAAGCGCGGCGCGTGTTGAATGAGGCAAAGGAGAAGGGTCACACGAGTGAACAGGGAGAATGGTGGGAGATGGTGGGAGAGGTGAAGGAATGGGTTGAGGGTAGGGCTTGGGATATGGTTGAGTTGGAGAGGAGGGTAAGGGTTTTGAAGGAGGGGTTGGATGTAGACTGATCTCTTACAATTGAGCATGGGTTTGGTGACAGTAGGTTTCTGCTGCGGTGTTGATGTCGTGAGTTATTTTGCGGGTCGTCTTGATCGACCTGCTGTTTCGAGACGGTCGTGATGGCCGTGAGCAGTTGGAAGGATTCCGCGGCCGGGATGAATGCTTCTAATCTTGGCACATGGATTCCAACGAGCTTGGGGAAATGACGACGTAGGGCGCAGGCCAAGTCGGACGACTCTCCTCCGGACGGTTCTCTTCTTCCAATCATGTATGATGGTTGAACTGGGCGTCTCGGGTAGCACGGCTCCATGTCGAGTAAGCGAGGCTTTATCCCCGGACTGCATGCTCGACATCTCTTCATATAGTAACATGTCGCGTGCCCACAAATCGAGATGTAGAGGACTTCTCTATACTCACCGCGCACCATGCCGCCGTCCCCAGAAATAACACCACTGCAAAACATCGCACCACCAAACAACCCCCCAAAAAGGACCACAGCATCCAAGTCCAACCAGCCAACTCCAAACAACGCAGCAGAGCCCTACTCCGCCTTCCCAAAATCCAGCCGCACCTATCTAACCTACATCCTCGGTATAATCCAACTAATCTCCACCCTAACAACAACAATCTACTTCCCGCTCATCCCCACCCTCAGCACCCACTTCTCCGTCTCCATCCAAGCCATCAACTTAACCGTAACCGTCTACGCAATCTGCCAAGCCATATCTCCTGGTATCTTTGGTTCTCTAGCAGATTCATATGGTCGCCGACCCGTACTACTTTGTCTCGTTACTACGTACACGCTAGCGAGTCTGGGTCTCGCGTTGAACAAGAACAGTTATCCGGTGTTGATTACGCTACGGGCGTTTCAGAGTATAGGTGGTTCGGCGACGGTGCCGATTGCGTATGGGATTGTGGCTGATGTTGCTGTGGTGTCGGAAAGAGGCGGGATGTTGGGACCGATGTTGTCGACTTGTAATGGGATTTCGGCGTTTGGACCGGTTATTGGTGGGGCGTTGGCGATGAAGTCGACGGGGCATATGGGCGTTTTTATGGCGCTGTTGGGGATTGCAATTCTGTGTCTTCTTCTGGTGGGCTTTGTGCTGCCGGAGACGTCGAGGGGGATTGTGGGGAATGGAGGGAGGCCTGCGACGGGGATTTGGCGGACCTGGACTTCTTTCCTCGGTCGAAAGAGAGGCGATCAGGCCGCGTCCACTGTTGCGCATCGACCTCCTATGCCCAGGCCTTCCCAGACGCTCTCGAGGATCTTCAATTCTATACGAATGATCCGTCACCCGGACGCTGCTGTGATTCTCTGGATGGTCGCTTCATCATACGGGATCTACTATACCTTCCAAGTGGCCCACTCCGTCATCTTCAAAGAACTATACGACTACAACGAACTAAAAATCGGACTAAGTTTCCTGCCTGCGCTGGCTGGCATGACGATTGGCGGAACGATAGCCGGCAAACTCATGGACATCAACTACGCGTATCATGCGCGTCAAGCCGAGGTAGTCGATCCAGCGAACATTCTGGACTTCCCAATCGAACGCGCTCGATTCAGAAATATGGTTCCATTGATCTTGGCGGAGACGGCACTGGTAATAGGCTATGGATGGACGGTGCAACAACACACTCACCCCGCCGTTCCTCTGGTCTTGGAGTTCTTCGTTTCCGCACTGGCTACACTGCTAAGTCATACTGCGAATGCGCTACTTGTGGATGTGTTTCCTGAAGTACCGAGCACGGCGTATGCGTCGGGTCAGCTTGCGCGAGGCGCGTTTAGTGCGGCATCTGCGGCTATTATTGATCCTCTTGTACGCGCTGTGGGTCGTGGGTGGTATTTCACCATCTTCGCAGCGTTTACCGGGACGGGATGTTTGACGTGTGTCAGTTTGAGTCGGTGGGCTGGTATGAGGTGGCGGAGAAAAAGGTATTTGAACGCGAGTAGTAGGTCAGGAGAGAGAACGGGTGGCCAGGGAGCTTGAGAATGGTTCCCGCCTGTTGGCAACTACGATCATCAGGATCATCACCCCGGATTAGAATCGGGCTCTGGAGTCAGAGAACTTGTTGTGTTACTTTTTCGACGCGCCTTTGAAACTCGGGTGGCTGGCATCGCGTCTGAGGTTGGCGTTCAGGCATCACGCTAGCCGCTTGCAGCTGACATCGAGCGCGCCTGCGGTAAGATATACGAGCGCGCATCATCCCGAGGTCACTTCAGAACAAACCACATATCTCATTGACTAAATATCAATTCGTCGGGACGCCATGACTATTTGGCCATGCTCTGGAAAATCGGTCCCATATTCTCCTGCCAAGTATCCACAATCTTATTCGCAGGTCCCGCAGCAATCATCTCATCTCCCTTCTTCCACTTCCCTATCGTCTCCTCCGTAAACTCCTCGACACTCAACGCAGCTTGATTCTTCTCCTTCTTGTTGTCATCCGGATCCTTCCTTTCACGATGCAAATCCGTCGCTACGGTTGGCGGCGCGATTTCGATGACCCTGACCTTGGTATCTTTTAACTGAGCGCGTAGGTTCATTGACCAGAAGTGCAGCCATGCTTTGGTACCGCAGTATACGGGATTGACGAGGGAGAATGGGACGAAGCCGAGGACGGAAGATACGTTGACGACGATGGCCATTGGTTTGGATTTGAAGTGTGAGAGCAGGTGCAATGTAAGGTGCATGGGCCCACGTTGGTTGATGTCGATCTCTTGATCGGCCTTGCTTCCAAATTCTTCTGGATCCATTTCGTTGACATCGAGCGGTCGCTGCACTCCCGCATTGTTGACGAGACAGTCCAGATCCGGGTGCTCGGAAATCAGCTTCTTGATGAAAGCTGGGATGGATTTGACATCTCCAGTGTCAAGCACGTAGTAAGCTGCTGCGCCGATTTCTTTCGCGGCTTCTTGGAGTTTTGACTCTGTGCGGCCGGCAATGATGACTTTCTTCCCGTCTTTTATGAATTGTTGCGCAAGGGCCTTTCCGATGCCGCCACCTCCGCCGGTCACGAGGGCGGTCTTGAAGTCGTAGTTTGTGGACATGTTGATTTGAATCCGAGGTTTCTCAAAGACGAATGAAACTTACAAGTGTAGAATGGTACAGCTCTTACAAATTGACTGGCTCAAGGCCATAGCGCCGGTGACGTACACCTACGTCGCCGTCGCTGATGATGTATGTACGTCATGACCCCATTTCAATACTAGAATTTGCTCCAGGGCGCAGCTTGTCGGCGACTACGCCGGTGCGACAGAATACTTCTAAAAGTCGAGGTTTGATCAGGGCAAACTCAACCGTGCCACCTAGGCACAGCGATTTACTCAAGGTAGCTAACTAATCGTGTGCATAATCCAACCACTGTCAACGCTCTCGTTTACCAAGCATGACCAAGGACCCACAGTCCTTGCGCCTTGGACGCACGATGGAAGGAGCGCAGCCGCACCCGGGACGGCTGCATCCACATCCCCATCTTCAACTCCTCTTCAACCTCATCCACCTGACAAACGTCTGACAAACCCCAAAACGTTTTTGCGCTTACCTTCAGGCCCACACTGAGATGCGCGAATCACGAACTTAGAACGCCGTTCCATGCGTCATACGGTCCAAATCGGCTTGGCGTGATGTGGGGTAGCCACGCACCAGATCGCGTCGACAACGCCGGGATGTGGGCTGTGCGACACGCCGAACAGCATTGCCGTAGTGTGAGATTGCTAGGGTGCGCGGGACGGAGCGTTTGTAAGGCCGTCTTATATTAGATGGAAGCCACATTCGCGACGTGTAGAGCATATCTTGCGCGCAGGCAAACCTTTGAGCGGGATATACACACGCGACCAACCAACTATTAGCGACGACGGCGAAGAGACTACAACATGACGGTTCCAGAGAACTCAGAGTCGAAGTGCGATGTGTTAGTCTGTCGATATCAAGCAATGCGAACATGTAGCTAATGAGTCCAAAGTCTTATTGTCGGTGCTGGACCAGCAGGGTAAGGATCACCACAACAATGGGCATTGTTCGGAACTGACCAGGTCTTAGGCTGATGCTCTCGGCTTGGATGGCAAGATGTGGTATCAATGCTCGCGTTGTCGATAAGCGTGGCACAAAGATCTACTCGGGACAGGCAGATGGTTTACAGCTCCGCAGTCTGGAGATTTTTGATAGCTTCGGTTTCGCTGATCGAGCTTGGAAGGAAGCAAATCACTTGATAGAGGTATGCACATCAACCGATTGTGGCTTGAGTAAACTTTACTGACCAATAATCAGTTTTGCATGTGGGTATGTTGTCACACTGAGCAAAACCACCAGCTTTCCTAATATTCGCAGAACCCCGGCGAAGATGGTGTGATACGCCGCTCAGACGGAGTTCCAGATACACCACCCGGTCTCTCACGATTCAAGGAGATCGTTCTCCATCAGGGACGGATTGAGAGGTTCTTCCTCGATCACATCAAGAAACACTCCAAGGATACGTTACGCGTCGAACGCGCGGTGTTACCGGAGTCACTGCATATCGCCGAGGATCGAGTTGATGATCATTCGCCCGACAACTACCCTGTTACAGTCCAGCTCCGATATCTCACGGAAGACGAGGCAAAACCAGCGCAAAGCAAAGGATCTGGAGTCAACGATGGTCTGTTCAGAAGCAATCTGGCCGAAGACGACACTGAAGACCTGATCGCCAACAGCCAGCAGAAGCAAGGCAGCACTGAGACTGTAAAGGCAAAGTACGTCGTAGGCTGCGACGGCGCTCACAGCTGGACGCGAAAACAGTTAGGCTTTGAGCTTGAAGGGGAGCCTACCGACCACATCTGGGGCGTCTTGGACATCATCCCCATCACAGACTTTCCGGATGTTCGCAAACGCTGCGCTATCCACAGCGCGTCTTCCGGGTCAATGATGATCATCCCACGAGAGAACAAAATCGCCCGCCTCTACATCCAGCTCACAGAGATCAAGCCCGACGCCAGCGGCCGAGCAGACAGGTCGAAGATTACCCCTGAAACCATTATCACAGCGGCACAAAAGATCATGGCGCCGTACAAACTGACGTACGAATACTGTGACTGGTGGACGGCATATCAGATCGGCCAGCGAGTCGGCAAAAACTTCGATCACAAGAGCCGTGTCTTCCTGGCTGGTGATGCTGTGCATACGCACTCACCGAAAGCTGGTCAGGGTATGAATGTCTCGATGCAGGATGGGTACAACCTAGGCTGGAAGTTAGGTCTGGTCGTGAAGGGCATCGCGCATCCCTCTATCCTAAAGACATATCAGTCAGAGCGAAGACGTATCGCGCAAGACCTCATCGCGTTCGACCACAAGTTCTCCCGGCTGTTTTCCGGTCGACCAGCCAAGGACGTCATGGACGAAGAAGGCGTCAGTATGGATGAGTTTAAGAACGCTTTCCTCAAGGGTACGTCACGTCAAACCCAGTGCCATCTACTAAGCCCATCAACTAACCCATCCTAGGCCAACTCTTCGCAACCGGCCTCTCAGTTGACTACGGCACCAGCATGCTAATCGGCAAACCGGGCTCCGCCGCCGACCAAGGCGACGGCACAGACGTCTCCGCCTCGTCCCCCGTCATCGGCAAGCAAGAGCTGTCCTCAGAGATCAAACTCGGCATGCGCTTCCCCAGCCACCAAGTCATCAACCAAGCCGACGGCCGCGCTTGGGAATTCCAACAGAAGCTCAAATCGGACGGAAGATTCCGCATCGTCGTCTTCGCTGGCAACGTGACCAACGCACAGCAGAGCACCCGTCTGAAGAGCTTCTGCCAGGCCCTCGAGTCGTCATCGGTGTTGGCTCCGCATCTCAGTAAGAACATCGAGGTGCTTACGCTGCACTCGTCGAAATGGAAGGAGGTAGAGCTATTACGCGACATCCCGGATATCCTACATCCGTTTGATGCGAAGACGGGCTGGGATTACGACTCCGTGTATGCGGATGATGCGAATCCGTTTGAGGGCTTTGGCGATGCGTATAAGGGGTATGGGGTTGATAGGGAGAGGGGTTGTGTGGTTGTTGCGAGGCCGGATCAGTATGTTGGGTATATTGATGAGGTTGATGGGGAGGGGTGTAAGGGCGTTGAGGGGTATTTCAAGGGGATATTCAAGTTGTAGCCGGCTAGTCGGGCTATGCGCAATCACGAAAGAACTTACCTTGCACGTGCATGCTCCAAGGCACCATAAGGTATGAGATGTTCGTATCCCTGAAAGGGCGGTTTGACTTATCCTCATTGAGATTTACCCTCTTCGAAAGCTGTCCTTCTAGTACAGCTATCTACTTGATGATAGCGCCAATGAATTTGAAGCAAGGACGCAAACAGGCATGAAAGACTCGCATAGAACTTCAGCACTGAATGTGAACCATGAATGACTAGCCGCTTCGTCAAAACTTTTGATGTGGGTATGCATCAAGCGATGAACCCTTTTCTTCCTCAAGCAAAACCATAGTTGTAGAGTGATAGTCGATTGTAAGATGGAGTTTTGATCGGAACGTTGGAGCAGTCTCCAGTCTCTCGAGGCTAGAGATCTGAATGTCGGTTGGCATCTGTTTCAACAATCGAAAGATACGACTTGCCTGCCTCATCCACCTCACTTGAAGGCTGGGTGTGTCTCCTTGTAGCAGGGCTTTTTGAGGGTGGTATGCGCATGATACTGGCAGCCAGCGTTCTTGAAGAATGTTTGTTTGGATGCTTCCGGTACAGTAACTAGTCGTAACCGTGGTCCTATGTATGCGACAAGCTCCTCCAGGAACATTTTCGGGTAATCGATCCTTGTCACAAGCTCGAATCTTTCTGTGTTCCAGAGATGAGCGGCGACCGTAACGGCAAATTTTCGGTGCGCCTCATCTATAGGGCTTGTCTTGTAGAAGCGACACGCTGCAATCATCATGTCCTGATTGCCTGAAGCAATCTTCTCCTGAGCCAAGTCGATACAGGCGTCCTGGAAATTGTGATCTTGGATGTTTTGGCCAAGCAGGTAGCATTCGTACCACTTTTCACGTTCGACCTCCGAAGGACTGATACCAACGCGGTCGGAATGATCCACAGGCTCGTAGTCAGAGAGAGGACTATCGGCATCTTCTTCTGCCACGATGTAGAAACAGCCTGTTTGAAGCCAACCGAGATAAAGTTCGAAAGCTCGAATGGTATTATCTGGCAGCCTCACTTGCTTGGATCCGGCGTGTTTACCTTTCTTCGTGAGGGGTTGATCGTGAAAGAAGTCGCAACTGGTTCGAAGAAGTTTATTATCGACCGGAAATGCCCTTGACAGTCTGCCGACGAAGACGGTGGTAGTATCCGACTGAAGGCTGTTTGTGGTCAGACAGACACGTCGTTTTACGTTTTGATCGCACTTACCTTGGTCTTTCGGAAATAGAGCACCTCAACTTTTTTGGCGCAGCAGCGTTGTCTGATGGTCCAGCCTTTCGCTTTGCGGGTTGAGCGCGGGTTGTCATTGTGAACGGTGGTGATGTGCGAGAACCAGCGTCGAGAGAGTTGATGGTAGGAGACGAAGTTCAAACCTAGCAGCGAAAGTCTTTTATGTCGATGGAGTAGCTACAAGCTAGCAGGTAAAGGCAGCGAACATATGAGGAGGTAAAGGTGCTCGGTATCGCAACTTCATGGGAAGATCACAGTGAGCATGTGCTAAACTAGTACGGACGTGTAACCGTCAGCATAAGAGAGGCAAAGATTTGGTAGAGTTGTATTGGACTAATCGTACTGCCTGGCAACTACAGTGGTACAAACACCGATGCATGACAGGCCTTGACCCCAATGTATGCGGCAAAAGGAACTCAATCCACCCATACCACCGGCGTTGACGCGATTCAATCGCAACTTCCTGTCGCCTGACGATCGCCAAACACTGCGTCTTGCAGTGCAACTGTCGACAAAGTTAGCACGTCGGAAGTAGATAAGTGGGAGGAAGCTCGTAAACTCTGAATGATATCGTCTAGCACCAGAGAGGTATACTGTAGCCTGAAGGTATTCAACGTGTTTTAGGCCGACAAAGGTCAACGTAAACCATTGCGTATACTTCCAGGCTTCAGCTTCTTCCCGTGCAACTTGGGGAAATGAGCTTCGTATATTTGACTTACCATCAGTCGAGTTCGCGCAGACCATGAATGGAGGCACTCAGAAGCGGAACGCGGGCTTAGTCTTGTAGCAAGGCTTGTCTCCATGATCGTGGTAATGGCAGCTGTCCATTTCCTTGAACCAGTCCACTGCAGATGACCATTCGAGGCCCTCGCGAAGGTTTGGCATGATTTCGCGCAGGATATCGCGCATGAAATCGGGTGGGAAAGACTTCATATTTGCCACTGGAACTCGCCGGCCAATATTGACAAAGGCGTCAACCCCAAGTTTTCGGTGGGCTGAGGACTCCGCTGTAAGTGGATAGACGCAGCGGGCAAATTTCATGGGAACCTTGCATGAAGCACACATCCAGTCGATCATAGCGTCGATCAAGGCGTCTCGGAAGTCACTGTCATCGAGATAAACGCCGAGATCATAGAGGCCTTCCCATGCCCAAAGCTCTGGATAGTGCTTCCGCTCGTTGTCCATTAGGTTTTCAGCCCCTCCAACGAAGACTCGTCCAGTGTAGAGGAACTTGACCCATGTCCTGAAAAGGTCTGGATCGTGTACCGGTAGGTCGACTGCAGCCTCCTGTCCCTCTTTCCACTCCTTCTTGAGCGCGTTGTCGAAGAACCGTGAGTTTGCGCGGAGCAGTGATTCGTGGACGTAGAACTCCTGTTTGGTTTCGCCAACGCGCACGACAATCGGTTTCGATTCGACACTGTGATCTTTAGCGTATTTTGCATGAAATAGGCGCGGTTGCTTACCTAGGTCCCTCGTCTGCCGAGCAGCGCGCTTTCTTGCGAGGAGGCTCCAGATCAGAGTCGGTGGCCATAGTGTTATTGACTGACGTGGGTGTTGTGCGTTGAGTGGAGAAGCAAGCGTTTTTGCGGTCGCGATTCCGAATTTTGCGTGGCTAAACAGCGTGAACTCGCTAAGCACGGGCAGATAAGAAGTGAAAGGGGGTCTGTAGTCGAGCAGTGAGCTACCGAATCTGTCGAAACGAGCGCCGCATCAGAGTGTACCCTGAGGGATACATTGCAGCATATTCAGCAGAGCTTACACACCACGAGACCATGTATACCTCAAAGAGCCTGTTGGTTTGAAATATAACCCAGAGATCGCAAGCTCAAAAGCAGAACTCAGCCATCCCGCTATAGCATCCTCCCCTAGCATGATCATAATTAGGTATCTGAACCCCACTGCCACAAACTATCTCCATCCTCATCCTTCCGCCTATCAAAGCCCTTCTAACACTCCTCAGCATATACCTGACAACCTAACCCGGATTTTCTACTCCCTCTTCTCCTCTCTCTACCTATTCGGCACTTCAACGAACACATCCATGGCCAGCACACTACCGGTGTGCTTCGACTACCGATGTGAAACATAGTAAAGTTCTTCAGCGAGATGGAGTGTGTATATTTTGCAGTAGAGGCAGGCTTCCAATAGGATGTCGATGAGGACGTCGGCGGAGAAGTGTGAGGCGAGGAAGGAGCATAAGTCGTGACAGCGGGATCAGCCTGATCATTCGATTCGATGCCGCTGCTATCCAAATGCGTGACATCTGTTGGTGAAGTAATGAAATGATCCATTTGATTCAGTTAATGAGGATTTCCGCCCATGTTTCTAGAAGCGTGACGTTGGGGAAGTCGTCACAGCCGAGTTCTTCCTTTCGAGCTTTCTAGAGCGGCGGAAAAGAAGGACGAGGTGTTGTGGAAGGAGGCTTCATAGGCGAAGGAATTCCGACTAGGTGTGTTGACGGTAGTTTTGATTGGTTGATGTTATGCTGCTGAAGTATGTCAGTCAAAAAGGCATTCGGTCATAAAGGGCCCCATCTAGTCCTTCGTCGGTGAAGTAACATTAATCTAAGCAAGGTAGATCTCGAGACGACAGAATTGAAGTTCCACAGCTGACCTCCTATCACTTACGACTTGTGGCTGTAAAAAGCCATTTGGCCCCCAAACGCTTACTGTGGCTGTACGACGCCCGCCGCAGTAGTGTCAAAGTATAAGGACCCGAGAACGTCGCCCCCGAGAAACAGCAGCATCGCCTCCTTCAACCTCATTTTCAATATTTACGCGATTTTGCTCTTCGCAATCTGTACAGGATGGCAGCGCTTCCATATTCTGATTTGGAGGTGGCTTCCAGTACCGATCCGGAAGTCGCTGGTAGTACTGACCAGGATACACACAAATACGCGCATTACTCGGTGGCCCCTGCAGACACAGACAAGATCGCATATGGTAGCATCACGCCTGCGCATGACGAGTCGGCACCGCAAACGATATGTGGCCTGCGGAAGAAAACGTTTTGGATCGTAGTAGTCGCGGGCGTTATCATCATCGCCAGTGCTGTGGGCGGTGGAGTCGGGGGATCGCTTGCAACACGCAAATCCAGCTCGACCAGCCCGACCAGCAGTACCATAATACCCGCAAGCAGCATACAATCTACCTCAACAACACCACCCCCCACATCATCAACCCAAACCATCAGCACAACCACCATCCTCGGCCCAACATCCAGCCCGCAACCCACACTCCTCCGCGACTGCCCATCCTCCAACAACACACTCCGCACCGTGACCTACGGCAGCGCATCTTACCACTTCCGCAAACTCTGCAATGCAAGTTACCTGAACACCGGCGGCGTCGCGGCTCCCGTGCAGGGCGTCGTAAAAAGCCTCGACGAATGCATCGACATATGCGCGCAGTATAACCAGAACAACCGGACGGATATACAAGCAGGCCGAGACCCTCTTTGCAACGCAGTGTGTTGGCGCAATACTTTCGATGTGAGTAATGACTGGGAAGGGGGCCATTGTTTTGGGTTTACGACTAGGAATGTTACGATAGATGGGGAGTCGGTTTTTAATGTGCATAGTGAAGAGATTTGTGATAGTGCTGTGTTGATTAATCAGGAGATCTAGAAGTGCATTGCATGTTGCAAAGGGAGGCTGTTTGAGGAAACCAAAGAGTAGATTTACCAGCTAGATAACCAAGAAAGATAAACCGGGTATACGCGCCGACATTACATACATCGCTTGTTCATGAACGCCGTTTGTTGCGCCGCTTGTAATGACCGCTTCGCGTGTCGGGGGGGAGGAACCAAAAGGGAAGACCGTGTAACCAGACCAGAACCAAGGTATATACAAGAAGCGAAGAAGCGAGAAGGTTCCGAGACGAAGAGAGATCTGACCGTAGGTGTGATACCATCTCCCTAGATCCCACCCATATCCACCTCTTTGCTCAAGAAATCCGCCTCTTCAAAATCACTCCCACTACCCGCGCCGACTCTTCCTTCCATGTGCGCGGCATTCTCAAAATCCATATCAATATCATCATCGCTAATCGTCCGTTGCGCTGTTCGTCTCGACTTGGGCAGCGCGACGCGCCTTGGTGGCGGCTGCATATTGAGTCCCTGAGGCGGTGTTTCGCTGAGCGGGCTAACGGGTACTTCGTCGATTTCGACGCCCATGCCCATGCCCCTCGTCGATGATGATGAGCCGAAGAAGAAGGTTGTGTCTAATGTCCTGACTTCATCTTCGTCCTGCCATGAGCGTTTCGAGGGGTTGTGTGGACGTTGCGAAGTCGTTGAGTATCCGCTATCTGTGGAGGCTTTGGAGGAGAAGGGCTGAGTGAAGGTCTCGGCGGGGAGGGGGAAGTAGTTTGGAGGTGGTGGCGTGCCGTTCGCGGCGTAGAGATGTGGGTTGGTTGTTGGTTGTTCTGCGAAGCCGCCGATTTTGTTCAAGCCGCAGAAGGGCAGGAGTTCGCGCTGGTGCAGGACTTCTTCTGATACAGGCTCTCGGGGTGGTTTGACGGCTAGGGTGGGCCGCGACATGGTGGTTTGGATGGATGGGAGGCCGGATGTCTTGTGGATCTTGTAGCCTTCCGGCACGCTCTTTCGCACTCTCATGCCGACGCTGAGGAGGTCTGCTTGCACTTGGCCGGGGACGTCAGGAGCGAGTTTCTCTCTGGGCTGGTGCTGGTGTTGCCTCGTGTTTTGGTGTCGCGGTCGGGTAATCGGATCTAGGCCCCGCAGATCGTCGGTATCCTCGAAATCGTCCCGCACCTCGAAATAGCTTGTGATGCTGGGTTGGAACTTTCTCTTGCTGCGGTGTTCGTCGGTCGGCGTATGGCGAGCTTGCATAGCGGAGTGCAATTGTGTGGATGTGTGTGTGAAGGGGGAAGGAGCGGTCGGAAGGCGCGGTCAGGCAGGATTATGCGGTGTCGCTGAGGTGGAGAGGGGATCTTTCTGATGCCGCTTCGATGCACGCTCGAGCCCTTGGGGGCTGAAGATGGACAGGGTTCCGGGATGACAGGACGGGTGATCAATTTAGCTGCTTAACGAGGAACGGCGGGTAGATTTCGCTTTCCGAGTCACGCTCCGGTCGGAGTGCAAGAGGGAGAGAAAGAAGCAAATGCGACAACCCAAGTTCGCTCGAGGGCCTGGCCGGATGACGGCAGTTGATGCAATGAGGAGTCGCGCGCTGATCAGCGGTCGTGACGCGACTGGACACTGGACGGCCGAACTGGAACCGCGAACCAAACGATGATCGTTGACCGGCTTATTCACGCCTTCCCCACTGCGGTTCGCTCCCTATCTAACCTGTCAATTGTCGGAGATGCGAGGTCGTCTCAACGCTGCGCTGAAACCGCTACGTGCAATGTCTCATGGACAATGTCTGGCTGGTACAAAGACAATTGCTTGTCGCGCGCGCTGCCGTGCCGTTGCTCTGCGCGACAACTCCTCCGAGGCTGCTTGCTGGCCCGTCCAACTTTCCAGACGATCCATGTCCAGCAAACGCACGCTTTTCACCCAGAAACACAAAAGCGCCATGCAGCGGTTCAGCATGATTGCTTCCCTTGTTCCCGCTCACGCACGCTTACGCATCCTGTGCTCAGCTCCAGGGTGATCGTCCATTGGACTTGTCGATCTGATCTGGGCCCAGTCCCCCGCAATATCGCTGCACAATGCTTCATTCCAATGCGAAGTGTAAAGAAGATGCGATTGAACGCAAAAGAGGCCTTCATTTGCCTAATAGTACATTGAAAGGAAGACCCTTGTTCAAAGTCACATACCAACGACCTATGACGCCAATACACCGGTACGCCTTCCCCCTTTGGACACGCTTGCTGACGGAGGTCCATAACCCAAATGCATCAAATCTCTCGACATAATACGCGCCTCCAAGCGCGTGCGTGTCTCGTTATCATCTCTTCTCGAATTAACATCGCCCTTGGGATGTGCCTAGTTGTTCACGGGAATGTTGCCCATCTCAACTTCCTTCCTCTGCTGCCTCGCTGCCCACTTGTCTGCCATCCAGGTAATCATTGTGACAGCCATGCTTGCGCCCACAAGTAGGAACACGATGAGGGTTCCGTATAGCGCAAACTTGCTTGCTCCACACAGGGTCTTGAAGTCGCTGTTGCCCATGCCGGCCGGCATGGCAATGTCAGCAGGCAGATCCTGATCAAGCGGTTGAGAGCTCTGCATCTTGCAGGTCCAGGTCTGGATGGTATCGACTTCCGGCGCGTTGTTGTTGAGCATGTGGGCCCAGATAGTGGTGATCAGGGTAAGGAGAAGAGTAGGAAGGAGGGTAGCGAGGGAGAGAAGAGCACGCAGGGTGTATTTCTGACGAAGTGCAAGCTGATGTTTGTTAGGAGGCTGTTCTTTTGCATGAGAATATCTGGACAGATGCTCACCTGAGGCAGAAACGATGCGATCAAGAACGCGCCACAGAGAACCAAAGTCACGACAGACGACGCAATGAGCGCCTTGGTTCCCTGTACGTCGAAGTGCTGAGGCCACATCGGTGCCCACCAAGGGTTTGTGAGATGTTGCCTGTTGAAGACATCGAGGGTGTGTGCCGAAGTGCCAAGAATACATATGCTGAAGACGACAACAAGGCCGGTGATGATGGCCTGAGCCAAGTGGAAAGGAGCGGGGTTGATCTTCATCGTGATGGTAGTCGTTGGTCTCGAAGTTGCTTTTTATATTCCAAAAACGTGGAGCGAAGGTATGGTATAAAGATCGGAGCGATTACTAGGCGTCAACCAGTGCGCACCTTTCTTTCTCGGAATGAAGGACGAATGAACGAGAGAACGAAATAACAAGCAAGCAACAGAAAGAGGCCTGATATAAGCTAAGGCTCCGAGTCGATCTTCTTTGCCTGGGATGGGGATAGAAAACAACTCTGGGGGTGGCACATGCCTTTAAAACGATCTCGGTCGCAATGGGGGTTTCACGCCTACAGAACACATCGTGCAACCCCCTGCAGCCCATCTGGCGTTCGCGTACAGGAATAGACGAACAAGAGCAAAGAAAGAACGGCAATCTGTCTTGCCGCTGCGACCATCAGTCGGACCTGGACTAGCAGCGCCAGTGTGCTGGGCTGGTGGTGGGAGTATTGTTGTTCGCAGCGCGTAAGCTGCACACCAGGCCTAGAATAGCGATATTAACCTGCATGGGGTCTTGCCGTATTACCGCATGTGTGCATTTAGCAGCACATGCCGTTCCCTGTGGTTCAATGAGCATGCCGATCGTACCGTGCGTCAAAGACTGTGGCTTGTCTGTGGTCCCGCTGGTAGCGAGGTAGGGCAGAGTCAGGGCATGAGCGGTTGTAGTGCGCTGTCAGCTGTCGAATGAGGATACAGAAGGATTCAAATGCAGGGTCGCCAGAGTGTGAAACGCGAATGGAGCGTGGGCGCTTCCAGAGTTGAGGTGCAGATGCTAATTCGTGAGATGTATGGGCGCTTACAGCCTGGGGTGCTTCTGCGCGATGATTGGCTGTGAGCGCATGACGCGAGGAGTGAGACTTTGGAAGCGACGACCAACGAAAATAGCAGATCCTCCTGATAGTAAGCTCAGTCAATTTTCTCAGAGAGGCTGATGGAAGTGCATGAATCGTCCAAACTGCTCTGCACGTGGGATATCGTTGGAAAGGTGAATGCTGCATTGTCCACTCTGCCATCTTTAGCACAAGAGTTCTTCCAATATATGGCATAGTATATCAAATGGCCATTCGAAACATCTACACACGCTCGCTAACTACGATGGTAATACCCATTCTACCAGGTTGTCGGAGCGCCGCGAAACGCCATGAGCGGAGAATCGGCTCGGAAGCGCTATCAAAGTTGACCTGTGAGGCCTCCAAAGCCCCACTTCCGCCGCCCTGAGCTTTGCGACTCTTTCGCCTTGCCCTTCTTCGCAGCCTCTAGAGAATGTGTCTTCTCCCAGTCTTCATCGGCCTTGTACGCAGTGATCGCCTGCTCGAGGTTGTAGCTGGCTTGTTCGAGGTAAAGGAGTGCAACGTCGTATCTAGTGAGGATATTAGTTCTGTCCACTATATGGTGGAAGGTGATGCCCATACTCTGCGACCTTGCATTTGACCATAAACTTCCGTAGCTTTGTCTTTTTGATCTCTTCCTCCTCGCCCTCTAGTGGCCTCGGGCTTAGACTAACCCCACCTTTGTAGAACTCTCCCGGTATGAGTACCGTCCTACGCGCCGCTAGTAGATGATCCGCATACAAGTTGTTCGTTCGGCGTAGGGCGTCGGCGGGTACACCATATCGGAGCGATAGCGATAAGATCGAGTCGTTGTTCTGGTCAACAAAGTGTAGAACATCAGGCGCGTCTTCGGCGTCTGTCCTCGACTTCTCAGATGGTGGTTGCAGCGCGTTGCCTGCTGAGTATGGTGGTAGTTCGTCGTCGACTTGCTCGCCCGGTGGCGAATACGTAGGAGGGTCGCGGAGACCTTGTGGTGGTAGTGCTGATGGCCCTGTCGCTATCTGGCAATATGGGCAGTAGTTTTGAAATCTAGGGTTATCCGTCAAGCATCTGGCGCATATGGCACGACCGCAGCAGTCGAGTCTGCGCTCGAACTGCGACGGCTTCTCGGTCTTCTCATCGTATGTTGGGGGAATAGAGGATAGGAGCGCAGCGCAGGTACAGCATGCTTCAGACATGATGAAACAGAAGGGTGGACTAGAGTGTATGAGGGAACTTCCGTATGTCTACACATGAGGTTCGTAAGGGATAATGGGAGGCAAAGTGACTGCCGCTACGTCATGACTAAGACAGTTGGCGATCGCGAGGGCACGTGAAGGCGCGATAGCATCGCATGTGTGTGAAGTTCAAACCATAAGCCCTGCGATATGTTGTCCCGTGCTCGGCAGACATATACTCTCTCTGTATCGTGATTGCGACGCGTGGCAGGACAGCCAGGTGTTGGAGTTTGGTGCTGGGTGCACTGAGCCTGCAAGGGTCCCGTCGTTGCTGCCAAGCCCAGCTCCGTTAGCGAGGACACGGTCCACCACACCAATTTGCGCCTTCCAAACTCGAACTTTTCTCGCAACATCGACCTTCCCTACCGCCCACCGCACCTTCACGAGGTATGTCTTGGACCCGAGTGCCCTTCAGAGCCCGGGGATGCAATCGCCGCCGTCCGCAAGGATGAGGGCGACACTGCTTCTCCTCTTTGACACGAGCTGAAGAACCCTTCTGCAAGGGCACTCTCCATGCTCTGGCATCTGGAGGCTAACCACGCACGCGCAGATACCTCAGTCGCCTCCGCCACAGAGAATCTCCCGTTAAACCGTCAAAATGGTCAAGACTTCCGTCCTCAACGATGCGCTCAACGCCATCAACAACGTAAGCTACAGCGCTGGAGGTGAACATGGACGCGCGCTAACAACTGAACAGGCTGAGAAGGCTGGCAAGCGCCAGGTCCTGATCCGTCCTTCCTCCAAGGTCATCGTCAAGTTCCTCACTGTCATGCAGCGTCACGGTACGTCGACTCCTGAATCTACCACATCACGCGTCATGACCCCAAAGACGTGTATTCCTCCGCTAGCAACCCCATCACCTCTTCGGGCTGATAACTACTCACTGATCTCGACCCCCCACGATCAATGAGCTTTAAGTGTCCGATAAATTAACTGCGGAGGACTTACACGTCTTCGGATCCCTTTCATGACGTCTGATGTTTATTTCGCCGCAACATACACTAATTCTCTTCTTCAGGTTACATTGGCGAGTTCGAGGAGGTCGACGACCACCGCAACGGCAAGATCGTCATCCAGCTCAACGGCCGCATCAACAAGACCGGTGTCATCTCCCCTCGCTACAACGTCCAGCTCCGCGACATGGAGAAGTGGGTCGTCAAGCTACTTCCCTCGCGTCAATTCGGTTACATCGTCCTGACCACCTCCGCTGGTATCATGGACCACGAGGAGGCCCGCAGGAAGCACGTTGCTGGCAAGATTCTCGGTTTCTTCTACTAGATGCTGTCTCGATGTGTGGTGGTGTGGGATTCAATATACCCTGGCTTGGGCAAGCTTATGTTTGGCCAAGTAAGCCCATCTTGGGAACGTTAGACGAAGAAATGACAAAAGTTCATGACTGGGAAATTTACATGTCCGCTGTGATGCTCGTGAATGTTGGATAGAATAATGGTAAATGTCGATTGGTACCTGAACATGACCATGTCGTAATCAGCGTAGCCTGTGAAAGACGAAGACAGCATGTACAACGTGATGGTAATCTCTCAAGATATCGAGATGTTGCCATCGTAACCCAATGGCGGACCACAAATGGATGATGAAGATGACGGTATTTGAAATTTGATTCTCATTAACTATGTACAAGACACGGTCATCAAGCATACTACCCAGCAAAACGCCAATCCGCGCCTCTACTTTTCGTCAACAATCGTCAAAACGTGAATCATAATCCCATCATGATGCCTGTACCAAGGCACTCTTCCCAACCCAATCAATCCCAAAACGCCTATGCTGAAATGCCTCTAACTCAATTTCCCACCCTCTTCACATTCCTCTAGTCGTAAAGATCCATATCCTCCTCCGCATCCAACTCAGCAACAGCATCAGACTCATCGTACATCTCCGAATCATCCTCACTGTCCGTGTGATTAGGCAACACCATGATATGCCCATCATCAAGCACGACCCTCGCGGTCTCACCCTCCTTGATAGAACCACGGAGGATAAGCACCGCAAGCCGGTTGAGCACCTCCTTCTCGATGAGGCGAGCAAGCGGCCTAGCACCATACGCAGGCGAGTATCCCGCCGAACCAAGGTAATCCCGTACCTCAGGCGTCATCTCGATGCGCACATTACGTCCGTTCTGGTTGAGACGTTTCTGGATCTCGCCGAGGCGCACGTCGACGATCTTGCGGATCTCGCGCTTGGTGAGGCGGTTGAAGATGACGATGGAGGAGATGCGGTTGAGGAACTCGGGGAGGAACCAGTTGCGCAGGGCGCCCATGACCATTTCTTTGGTCGTGGGGTCGATCTTGCCGTCGGGCGCGTTGGGGCGCGAGAGGTGCTCGGCTCCGAGGTTGGAGGTCATGACGACGATGCAGTTCTTTGCGTCGACGACGCGGCCTTGGCCGTCGGTGATGCGGCCGTCGTCCATGAGTTGGAGGAGCACGGTGAGGACTTCCTTGGCGGCCTTTTCGACTTCGTCGAAGAGGAGGATGGAGAAAGGTTTGCGGCGCAGGGCTTCGGTGAGCTGGCCTCCGGCGTCGTGGCCTACGTAGCCGGGTGGTGCTCCGATCATTCGGCTGAGGGAGTGACGCTCTTGGTACTCCGACATGTCGAAGCGGATCATGGCCTTTGCATCGTCGAATAGGAACTCCGCGAGGGCCTTTGTGAGGAGTGTCTTACCGGTACCAGAAGGACCACAGAACAAGAAGCTGGGCGGTTGGTTGGGGTTGGCCAGACCAGAGCGCTGAAGTCGGATGGCGTTGGAGACGGAGACGACAGCCTCCCTCTGACCAACGACGACTTCTTGGAGGTGGCGCTCCATGTTTAGCAGCTTGTCCTTCTCTGTAGTCTTGAGTCGAGTGACTGGGATACCGGTCCAGCGAGCGACAATCTCGTTGATCTGGTCCGGACCAACAGAGTCGCTCATGAGAGCCTCACCACCACCACTAGCTTGGTGAGACCACATCTCTGCATCCGCGCGGGCTTTGTCTCGCTCCAGCTCGCTGATGCGCTGCTCAACATCGGGAATGGCGTAGTACTTGAGATCGGAAGCAGTCTGGATGTCGCGCATACGCTCGGCCTCAGCAAGCTTCGTCTTGAGGCCTTCGAGCTTGAGCTTCTGCTCCTGGATGTCCTTGCTGCGACCCTTCTCACGCTCGTACATCTCACGAAGGGGCTTCAGCTCTTCTTCGATGTTGGCGGCCTCTGCGCGCGCTTCCTTCAGACGGACTTGTGAGGCTTCGTCCTTCTCTCGGGAGAGCGCGTGAATCTCGATCTGTAGTTGTCGGTGGCGTCGCTCGAGGTTATCGAGCGCTTCGGGTTGTGACTCCCGGGTGACACGGACGGCTGCCGCAGCCTCATCGATAAGGTCAACGGCAGAGTCGGGTAGTCGGCGCTGAGTGAGGTAGCGAGCAGCAAGGGTGGCTGATGCGACAATGGCACCGTCCATGATGGTGACACCGTGATGGGTCTCGTAGCGCTCCTTGAGACCACGGAGGATGGAGATGGTCTCGGGAATGGACGGTTCCTTGACGAGGACCTGCTGGAAACGACGCTCGAAGGCAGCGTCCTTCTCGATGTACTTTCGGTACTCGCCTAGGGTAGTCGCACCAATGCAGTGGAGCTGACCACGAGCCAGCATGGGCTTCAGCAAGTTGGCAGCGTCCATGCCGCCCTCTCCGGATGAACCAGCACCCATGAGGAGATGGATTTCGTCGACGAACAATACTATCATCTCCTTCGACTCCTCGATCTCCTTCAGGACGCCCTTCATGCGGTCTTCAAACTCTCCGCGGTACTTGCTGCCAGCAACCAAAGCACCGACATCGAGCGAGAGCAGCTTGCAGGCTGCGAGGTTGGCCGGTACATCCGCATCGACAATGCGGCGGGCAAGACCCTCGACGACTGTAGTCTTACCAACACCAGGCTCTCCGATGAGGACTGGATTGTTCTTGGTTCGCCGAGTCAAGATGCGGATGACTCTGCGTGTCTCGTCTTCTCGACCAATGACTGGGTCGATCTTGCCCTCTCGTGCCATTGCCGTCATGTCGATGGTGAACTTCTTCAAGTTCTCATTCTCCTGCTCCGCGTCTGCCGACTTGGAGTCCACCCGCTTTGTACCTCGGAGTGCCAAGATGGCGTTGTCGATTTGCTTGACGTTCGGTACGTTGGACTCGGCGAGGATCCGTTGCATTTGCGCATCCTGGCAGAGGGACTGGATGAGGTGGTCGACGGCGATGAAGCTGTCTTTTTGTGTCTTGCTCAAGTCTTCGGCGGAGCGGAGCACCTTGGCCATAGCAGGTGAAGGTGAAGTCCGCTCTGGCGGAGGGTCTTGGCTTGGTAACCGTACCATAGCCTTCTTGAGGTTGCGCTCGAAGAGTTGTGGGTCGCCATTCGCGCGTTCGAGGACTTGCTTGAATAGCGGCGGCGGTGGTACGTCGACTTGATTCGCTAGGTCCTTGGGCGGATCTATGAGCGAGACGGCGAGGTGAAGGGGTGTGAGTTGTGAGTGCGCATAGCCCTTAGCTAGATCGAAGCTGTCTGCTAGAGCCTTCGCGGCGCGGTCGGTGTAGGCGTCGAATGAAGTCATGGTGATTCGTGACTATAGCCTGGTGTATATGGCCCGAAGCCAAAGGTAATAATCGTGGGTCGTGAGCTCGTACTCAGGAATCGTGTATGCGTTGTGTTGTTGTTGGGTATCTCTGGAGAAGAAAGGAAGTGTTGCACAAAGGACTCGAGAAATATTTATAGGGTAAAGGCAGCTTTACTCAACACTTCACGAAGCGTCAGGAAGCCGTCAGTGACATCGTGTGGTTTCTCGTCATGTCTCGAAGCTAGGCGTGGGTTCTGCCCTGTCGGTAGAAGCTTCTGGATCCTCGTACAGGTTTCCGGTCAGGCAAAGAGCTCCCCGCCAATCGCAGCTACGTCACTCCTGTTGCACTATACCCGATATGGACTAGACCAGTCGCGTCGGCCCAACTGGTGCCACATCAGATCATCACTCCACGCCTACCCAACGTACCGTCTGCAATGACCATGGTTCAATGCGACTCAGGCGGATCCGCGATCAGCGTGGCAGGGTGTGACTCTTCACGCCTTGCGGCCTGACGTCCGGTTCGAAAGTCAAAGGGCAAGGTATACTCGACACGTCAGCAATATTTTCCTACATCGAAGTTTGATTCTCTGGATGAGAGAACTCGTTGACCAGGCAGAGCTTTACTACCAGGATTCTGGCTCTCTTCCTCGTTTGGCCACGTTTGTTGAAGTCCGCCAACTTCGCCTCGATGGGTTCCCCAGCTGCCAATGAAAGCCTTACCCTCGTAATCCTCGACGCCTTTCCACCACTTCCCTTCGAGTCTGTCCATCAGCACTGCAGCCTTCTCGTCCATTGTCATACATAAGAACAATCTCGACACATCGTCTGGAGCGACGTCGTCCATGCGCCCACCAGGATACATCATTGTCGGCCACTCAGCTACGACAAGTCCGCCCGAACTAGGCCATGCGACACCAACCCACGCGTTTTCCCTCGCCGTCGGCTCCGGGAGAGCAGCCATTTCGTCCTCATCTTGCAAGTGGTCGGGTTGAGTGAAGAGGGAGTGTCTAGCGGGAGAATCCCACCACTTTCCACCGAGCAATAGTAATCGCTGAGCAAAGTCGTCTTCCTCTTGTCGAGTGGCGTGACGCTTCTTCGGTGGATCGAGACGGTCGAGGCCAAGAAAGTCGAAATCTGCTGGACAGGGCCTCTCGAGCACTATCACACCTCCGCATGACGGCCAAGCGAAGATGGTGATCTCTTCATAGAAGTCGATACGTTTCTTGAGATCTTTGACGCTATTGTAGATGGTTCGCGGACCGCACAAGTGGATTGGACGTTGCACCGGACTCACGAGACGTGCGCTATCAGATGGAGGTGGTGGCATGGGACGGATTGAACTGAGCAGGCTACCCATGATGAGACCAGAATGTGTGTCGAGTGCAAGGGTGCAGGCGGGGAACAGAAGATCAAGATGCAGTAGCTGTGCTGCATTCTCGATCACATGCAAACCTCTAATGGCGGAAACGCCTTCGCTCCGGCATACGCAGCACGTCAGAGATTATGATTATTGATCACACTGCGCAAAGCATTACAGGGCCTTGATGATGTAAAATAACCATCATACTTTCGTGTTTTCGGTCCTATTTTGCATCCAACGCATCACCCCAACACTTCTTCTCCATGTCGCGCCTCACGAATGGCCACGCGAGAAGCATAAACATGGCCATCAGCGTATCCACGATCCCCCATCCACGCCGCGGACTCGCACCCATAGCATTTGCCCACAATAGCTGTGGATCGAATCTCCCATCACATACAGCATAGTCGCCGCTCGCTACATTTGCCACAATCTCGGGCGCAATCTTCGCAGCGTAGGGGAATTGCTTCTCCAACTCGTGAAGCTCGCCCGACGTGCCTTCGATGCGCTTGGTAAGTTCGGGTTTAGTCTTTTGCTCTTGTAGAAAGGTTGGCGTGATGAAGTTGTGCGCAAAGATACATTGTACAGCGTATGTGCTCTTTGGGCCTGAGTACCTCATGACTTCCATGCGTAGGGTGTCGGCAAGTGAGCGTTGAGCAGCTTTGGCGGCTTGATGTAACCACGATCAGTCAGTATACTGAGTTTTAAGACTTGCACCGTTCTACGGCGATGCACGATCACTTACCGGAGTATGCTAGGTAGCCAGGTGCCGGGACAAGCGATGCAGAACTATTCACGAACACAATCTTTCTCAACTTTGGGCTTGATGGCACCGCAGCGTCTTCGTCATCTTGAGTCCACAGCTTCATTGCCGCCTGCGCCGGGTACAGGCTGGAGTAGTAGTTGTTGTTCATACAGCGTTCGAATACTTCAGGCTGCAGATCGAGCAAGTACCCGCACTCCGATGGTGTACCGCCAGCAACACAATACACGATATCCGGAATTGTCGGCTGTGATGCGAAAAGGGAATACGCCTAGTAGTATCATTAGAATTCTAGTTTGTACTTGCCTCCTCATCTTGGTAGTTGGGCCGGACGTCTACTCACTGCTGAAGGTGTGCCAAGGTCTGCAGCGATTGCCGCGACCTGCTGGATTTCGTCTCTTCTGCTTGCCAGAATCTCATCTTTGGCCTCGTCAAGCGACGTTTGCCCGCGCGCAAAGATAGTTACATGAGCACCTATACGATGTGTTCAACAATGATGACAGATACTCTAGGCATACCAAGCTCGTACCTTGAGAAGCCATAACCTTCGACATCTCCTTCCCCAGTCCTTTAGACCCGCCAATCACGAATACCGTCTTCACATGTCAGCATACATACGCGGATCAGCCAGGTTGCACCATACCTTCCCACTTAGATCACCTTTAGGCGCCATGCTTGCGTGCTGTGAAGCGGACGGCAATGCAAAAGAGTGGTGGTTGCCGGAGAATTGATGGGAGCGAAGGTGAGCCAGACACAACGCCGCCACCTCATCCGTGGCCCGTGCAAGGGTTCTGCGCGTTTGTGGCACGGTAATTGTTTAGGCAGCGGCGCTGCATCGCGGTGCACGGCCCGCGTGATTTAGGGACTTCACATGTAGACATTAGGCTATGTCAAACTCCAGAAATTATCTCATACGGATAATGAGGCTATGAAAGATTACCTGGTTTCTATTGCACGATCGCGTGTAAAGTCAGAAATATGGCAGCTTGGAGTGTGTAGACAAAGCCTGGGTTGTCTCACTCTATCCGAGCACGGTGAGACTTGGCCATTGCGTATATCCAATACTTGAACAACAACAAGCATACAAAAGTTCTAGGTGTGGGTTGGACTAAACAACTTGGGCATATCCTAATCTCCAAAAAAGCCTCGACGGAAGAATCCTACATGCACGTATGAGCATCCAAGATCCACCGGCCCGAAGCGCTAGCATGTGAAGGCTGAAGGAACTGCCGCCAACCTTTCTGCAACCATGATCTGACTTCGCCCATTCCATTCCTTCTCGCCAAGCCTCAACGGCTTACGTGCATATCTCGTGTTACATACAACACATAGATGGAGGAATGATCTTCGCGGCTCGGGGACCGCCATCTTGGTACTTTATGAAGTTGATATGAGGAATAACTCGGTTGGCTCCACCTGCCTTGCATGCGCTTTACGCCCCGTTGACCAGGCTACATCACCCTTGTCGCATGGTGCATAATCTCTAGACTTCCAAGGCGAACTCGAGACGAGACGAATTATCCGGGTGATAATCGTGAGACCAATGGAAAAAACATTCAGCATCTCACCATCGAAGCAGGCATACCGAACCCGGTCAGCCCTTCATGCGCCATCCAAGTATAGACCTTGTGGGCAGCTTGCGAAACGCCAATTCGCTGCGCATGATCCTGGCTTCCCTCGATTTCCATCATTTCCTGAATCCACGCGAAAATTGATGTTACCATCCCGCTTACCTGCTCTTCCGTGTTGCCGGCGTGGAATGTAACCTTTAAGCGACTTTCGCCCTTGGCAACGACAGGGTGCTCGACAGGGAATACGCAGTATCCGTCTAGTAGTAGGTGGAAATACAGCCAGTATGTGTATGGTTGTCGGGTGCGGATAGTGATGATGTGGGATGTCGCCGTTGGGGATCCTTCCCAGTCTTTTAGTAGGGGGATGGCGAGTAGCCCAGTTTGTTCTGCACATTCCCAGAGAGGGTGCGATATGATTGACTGTAAAAAGAAATCCACAAGATCGTGAACCTGTGCTTGGGCCTTGTAAAGGGTCAGCGAACGATCGTCGTGGACATTGAGATGAAGAAAATGATTACCTGTCTTCCAACTTCCGACTCTAACAGCCTGTATCCTGTTCGGATAAGTGCTACCGATGCGAATGAAGGTGCAGTCGTGAATATGATGGTTCGTGCGAAGTTCAGGAGCGTAGATTTAATTGTCTCGTTTCCAAGGATGGCAGCTGTTTTGCGAGTGAGTATACATGGCCCTAATGTAGGCCGTGAGATACATACCGCCTCTTGACGACAATGCCTTGCCGTATGAATGCATCACTATAGCCACCTCTTTTTCCAGACCAAGAGCGCACACAAGACCCTTGCCTTGCGGCCCATAAATGCCGTTACTATGGGCTTCGTCCACCACAAACTGGACACTTCCGGAAGGAGCCAATTCCTTCGCGGCATCGACAAGCTCTTGCAATGGGCAGACATCGCCGTCCATACTATAGACAGACTCGACAGCTACTAAGACTGATCTTGCGCCTCTCTGGATCAACGGATTGGACTCTAAGATCCATGTCAGGATGCGGCGAAAGTCCTCGATGTCATTATGCGCGAAACTCTCTCGCTCTCCTGCCAGACTCTGGTCGATACCCTCATGAGTGCTGGCGTGTACCAACGTGTCGTATAAGATCACGTCGCCCGGTCGTGGTATTGACGTCCATATGGCCACGTTTGCTTCGAACCCAGAAGCCAGCAGCAGTGCCGTTTTAGCGCCATGAAACTTAGCAATGTGCTGCTCGGTTTCTTCTATATAGGCGTAGTTTCCTTCGGCGAGTCGCGATCCCGGCGCCCCAGGGTTGTGTTGATCATATCGGGAAAGCTCTTTCAGGTATTCTGTCTTCAAGATACCGCTGGTCCCAAAGGAGAGAATGTCGTTGGAGATGAAGTCGACTGTTGACTCGGCTGCTTGCCATAGATTCTGTTGGATCGAATAGAATGTGTGTGACTTCTTCTTAACTTCTAGTGCGTCTTCCAGGTTGCGATAGAATGAGGACGATGGGTTTGTTATTTGTCGTGCCTTCTGATTCCCGATGCGGGCTGCCAACTCTCGGCTGGGGCTGAAGACGGTCCTTGGGTCGTATGCCTCACCCATTCCGTGGAAACCTTCGTAAAGTAGATACCCAGGTGTGTAACAGGAATAACTGAGAGTGATGCACTGCACAGTCAAGATAGTCGTTATATGTACGGCCTGCCCCCGGATGGGTGCATAGCCCGTGCGACACAGCCACCAGATCGATCTGACTATAGCATTGAGACAGGCAAGAAGAGGAGGACGCTCCAGGGAGGCTGAGTATAGGCGAATGAGGTGCTGGATCTGGTGGCACTATCCGTGGGCCATAACTACCCTTGCAGCTTGCAGCTTGCAGCTTGCGGCGTCTCAACGCGGCTGTAGCGATCACGGGCAGTGGCCGATCAAAAGGGTGCCTAGACTCGGCATGCAACATCACATTGGTGAGCTCTTACCTGCATGCAGGCGAACGTTGCAGAGTCGGCAGGGTATCAAGCAGTGAGGAGAGCAATAGGGGAGGATCGTCATGACGCACAGGGCAATTCGTGTTCGTCACGTGATGAAAGGGCTCACGTCAGCGGAACATGAGTGGCTGGGACGCGTTTACCGAAGTTATGCCGGGAACAGCAGGGCACCTGCATCTTTCCATTCCAGGACTGTGATGAACTACGAAGACTGCGATCCCACCAACCCGCGATGCCAGTCATGCACCCTCTACCTAGCGCCTATCACCCATGTGAACCCTATCACGATCGGGAAGATCATACTCGCTCAATTCGCTGACCTCGAACTGGTCGCGACGCTTCTTTAGTGGTGCAGCTTTGTGCCACGACGGCAGCCCGCGACGCGTCTCGGCCTGACCTTCAGCATGACCGCTTGACCCCGGCCGCGTTATCTGTCGCAAGAGCGAGACAACAGAATCCGAGAATGGCAATGCCTTGACGACTTTGGGAAGCGATGGGAAGCCTATGATGAGGAAACCAGCCGTCATCTCGCCTACACCCCAAAGACCCGCGATGGAGACGATATACAGCTGATCGGACGTGTGCAACAGCCTGTAAATGTAATATAGGCGCACCGCTGCGCTCGCACAAGCGAATATTCCGATACCGAAGAGGAGCGAGATACCGATCTTGCTGGCGCGCGACATGTGTAGCTGCCAGATCACCCTCTGTGGCAGCCCAAGGATGACCAGATCAGAGATGAGGTTGACGATACCCGCAGCCATGTTGTGGCTTCTCATGTCGATAGGGCACTTGCCTTCTACCAAAGGATTCCATATCTTGGTCCGTGGACTGCACTGGAAGATTTCGACCAAGGTGCCGACGCCATAGAAGAGGATGTTCGCCCAGATCATGACATGGGAAATCCAGAACACGGCGTTGCGCTGCCCACGAGGCACGAAGATCTTGAGCCAGTCGAGCAAGATGGCTACCTTCAGGAGCATGATGACCAAACCGTAAAAGATTGAGCCCAGATGAACATGCTGTTAAGGATCAGTTAAGGTCCATGTTTCGATCGCTATCGCACTCACGTAAAGGATTGGAAACAGGTTTTGGAGCTGGATGTTCCACTGATGAACTTCAAAGCCTGGGGATATCGCGAGTTCGTATAAGACATGTGAGTGTCCAGCATATAGACCCTGTGCAGCCTGTTTAGTTTGGTTCGTCTTCTGGATACTGAGATGCTTACTAGGGCCGATATCAGGAGCGCATCTTCGATGCGAAATGTCTTCAACAGCGCTCTCGACCACAAACGAAGCAGAACCGCAAGTGCAGCGACAATGCTTCCGAGCAAGACAACACCATAGCCAATGGCATGGCTTCCGCCTGGGTGGTCGAAGTTTGAACTCGTACCCAGGGGAGGCTCTAGAGCTGGACCCTCCAAAAGCGCGGCTAGGAATATAGCCTGCTCTTCTGGCGAGGATTGTGCGAGCGCAGCTGGGTCCATGATGTGAAGCGATTATGGTATGCGAGTGCGGTTCTGCCTTTGTAAGCAGATTGGATTGACGGGAAAGGCGGTAGAGCAAAGGAAAAATGATTCCAGCGCAGTGGATGACTGCCTTGCCGGCGCTTTATTAAGCTGACTGGCTACGGCAGATTGAACGTACGTGGGTGGCAGTGGGCGATATTAACGGCTGACATTTGGTCGCTTTGGGAAACCAACTCGCATGCAGCCATCCCTGCACGCGCATCAACTCTTTCAAGGAAATAACCTCCAAGGATTTTAACGCTTCCTGTAGGTCTGCCTTGGGGGCCACAGGCTGTAATGGCTTACCACCAATAGCCATACCATCGGTAGCAACGGCCAATCACCTCGCACCCCAGCATATGCGTCAAGATCATCATACCTCGGAAAGCTCGAAATAGCATGACCATCTCTATGCGCTTTCTCTTCCGATATGTTTTGGTGTAAATGAATGAGCACCGCACTTGAACAGTGACTGAACACCGTGAACTTACGCCGAAGCCTCACAGCCATGGAACCCATCGCCATCGTCGGGCTGTCCTACAAGCTACCGGAAGGTCACAATGAGGACCACAGCTTCTGGGACAATCTACAAAGAGGCAGAAGCCTCAGTCGTCCGTGGCCTAAGTCCCGAGGCAACATCGATGCATTCTACAACTCCAACGTAGCGATGGATAATACGGTAAGCTACATTTACGAAACGTCAAGAGAGCAGCCAATGCTAACAGAGGTTGACAGGTATACTCCACGAATGCTCACTTTGTCAAAGAAGATCCTGCCGCCTTTGACGCAGCCTTCTTCTCTATAACCTCGAAAGAGGCCGCATCAATGGACCCTCAACAGAGATGGCTACTGGAAACTTCATACAAAGCATTGGAGAATGGTGAGTGCTACCCAACCTCTACATCACTATTATTGTCGGCGAAGTCTAACTTGTTGCAGCTGGAATTCCACCAGAAACCCTTGCTGGATCACAGACGGCAGTGTTCGCTGCTTCCATGTCCGATGACTACAGCAGAATCTTGGCTAGAGACCCCGACGAAGCACCGACCAATACCGCGACGGGTACTTCGCCTTCTATCCTAGCCAATAGGCTTAGCTGGTACTTCGACTTCAAAGGGCCTAGCATCCAACTGAACACGGCATGCTCGACAAGCATGATTGCGATGGATTTGGCTTGTCATTCGCTTCGTAGCGGCCAGAGCTCAATGGTAACGCTGCCCTACGAGATCGTGCCACTACAAGAGTACTGACACGCGCTAGGCTCTTCTTGCTGGAGCGAACGTCCTCCTCAGCGTCGAAATCTCGCTTTACCTATCGAACATGCAGATGCTCTCACCAGACGGCGTCTCCTATAGCTTCGATCACCGTGCTAATGGCTACGCCCGTGGAGAAGGTGCGGTAGTGCTGGTACTCAAGAGGCTTTCGGACGCGATTCGAGATTCAGATGTCATACGTGCCGTAGTTCGAGCGACTGGCTCAAACCAGGATGGACGCACACCAGGCATCACGCAGCCCAGCGCGGAATCGCAAGAGCAGTTGATAAGACACGTTTATAAGAGCTGCAACTTGGGATTTGAGTCTACGCGATACGTCGAAGCTCATGGAACTGGTACTCAGCTTGGAGATGCCACGGAGATGAAGGCGATAGGCAGGGCCTTCCGGGCTAGCCGATCACAAAAACACCCGCTATATGTTGGATCCGTCAAATCTAATATAGGCCATCTCGAAGGCTGTAGCGGACTGGCTGGAATTCTCAAGTCTATCATGATATTGGAAATGGGCGTCATACCACCGAGCGCACTCTTCGAGAAGATCAGTCCAAAGATCAACGCCAAGATCTACAATGTTGAGGTACCCACGAAATGCATCCCATGGCCGACCAATGGGCTGCGTCGCATCTCAGTCAACTCCTTCGGTTTCGGCGGTTCCAACGGACATGTCATACTGGACGATGCATATCACACTCTCGAGTCCATGAACCTACAAGGCTTCCACAATACACTGGTTCCTTCAACTCTGCAGGAGCCACGAATAAATGGCAGTATCCCGAATGGAAACATGAATGGCACCAACGGTAACGATCATGCCAGCGAGTGCGGAGTGACTGCTGATTCTACTCACATGAATGGCTCGACAACCGAGAGTACTACTCAGATTGTCGAGGCACCGGAAGGGGGTGTCCAATTACTTGTCTGGTCAGCAAGGGACGAAGCCGCGTTACGACTCGTAATACAGCAGTATACAGACTACTTCGACAAGCGCGTATCAGGACACGAAGAGAGACTACGTCGCCTCGCGTACACTCTGTCATCTCATAGGAGTGTCACGACGTGGAGGGCGTTCGCCGTCGTTGATGCCAGCGAGAAGTTCATGGCCATCAGCGCTGCTACCTCCACCCTGATACGTTCAGCTCGAGAGGCCGGCATGGCGTGGATATTCACTGGTCAAGGTGCACAGTACGCTCAAATGGGCTGGGAACTGCTCAGATTTCCCATCTTCAAGTCAACTCTGATTAGGATCGGGGATATATTTCGCTCATTAGGCGCGCCGTGGTCCTTATTAGGTAAGACAGCAGACTGCCTCCAGTTTGACGTCCAAGCTGACTGTTGACTAGACGAGATGGAGCACGGGAACAACATCAATCAGCCCCGTTTCAGCCAGCCCCTCTGCACTGCTCTCCAGATAGCGCTTGTGGAACTACTAAGAAGCTTCCGTATTGCGCCACTTGCAGTGGTTGGCCACTCCTCTGGCGAGATCGCCGCGGCGTACTGTATCGGTGCTTTGTCACTTGAGTCCGCATGTAAAGTCGCCTACCATAGAGGAAGACTGGCCAATCAGCTTATGGAATCTTTACCTCGTCCCGGAGCCATGATGTCAGTAAATCTTCCCGAAAGTGACGTTTCAGCATACCTAGCCAAGGCTTCTCTCTCTGGAAATACCCACGTTGCTTGCGTCAACAGCCCTTTCAACGTAACGCTTTCTGGCGATGAGACCGACATCGACACGCTGAAAGATCGACTGGATGAAGACGGCATATTCGCACAGAAACTTAGAACTGGCATAGCTTATCACTCTCCCGCTATGCATGCCATTTCCGCGGAGTATTACTCGTCGATGGGTCCACTCGAACGACGCGAGCAACAAAGCTCGATCTTCATGGTTTCCTCTGTGACTGGCACAGTAGTCGATGCCGATGCCTTGCTCACAGGTAGTTACTGGGTCGATAATCTTGTATCCCCCGTCAGATTTGCGGACGCCCTGCGATACCTTGCCGTGACAGCACCGAAGCTCGATCGCAATCACACTATACATGATTATGTCGAAATTGGACCTCATGCAGCACTGAAGAGACCCACCACCGAAACACTGGGCCAATATACGACCAAGAAGCAAGCTAGGTACATGTCTTTGTTGTCGAAATTCGATTCTTCTCTTAGATCGATCCTGAGGACAATCGGGTGCTTGTTTACGTATGGATACGCTCCGTCGATCGATGCGGCGAACCTACAAGATGCTCAAAAGAAACGCCTGCAGATCCTGGTTGACTTGCCTGAGTACCCTTTCGATCGTTCGCAGACATACTGGCACGAGACTCGACTTAGCCGAGACTGGCGGATGCGCAACAACGCACCAAGAAACGTTCTCGGCATATGTGCTACGGACTGGAATCCTTCCGAGCCGCGATGGCGAAAGATGCTTAGTCTAGAAGAGACTCCTTGGCTTGCAGACCACGTCGTAGGTGACCAGGCGCTTTTCCCAGCCACCGGGATGATCATGATGGCTTTAGAAGCCGTAAAACAGCACTTTCAGACCGACCAAGTCATCTTGGGCTACACTATCAAGGAAGCAACATTTATGAATCCCATTGTAGTCAGCTCTGAGCCTAAGAGCAAGACGGAAGTGGTGACTCAGCTACGCCCGCTTCGTCAGGACTATGAGAAGACGTCGACACGTTCAGAAGTTCGTATTTTCGCTCGATCAGACTGCGAGTGGACCGAGTGTGTTCGAGCTGAAGTGCATGTGGACTACGAAGAGACTGCCACGGAAGTAGATTGTGGTCTTGAAGCAAGAGCTCACGCTAAGGCATTGTTCGATAGCTACATTGCCGCGGAAGAACGATGCACGCTTCCTATAAGCAAGACTGATTTCTATGACTGGCACAAGAACCAGGGCCTCAAATACGGCGAAGCGTTCGCGTTGGCAGATAACATCCTCTGGGATGGCGACGAGCTTGGTATTGCCAGCGTCGACGTCAGTGCGCCCATACATTCTTACGAAGGGGTGGTGCACCCAGCAGTACTTGATGCAGCTTGCCAAGTATGCTTTACTGCGCCGTCCACTGGCATGTCGGATAAACTACCCACGATTATTCCTCACAAAGTATATGATACCTGGATATCAGCATCTGGGTGGCAACACCCTCAAACTCGCCTAATCAGAATGCTCACGACGTCAAGATTCAAGAAGACGATCAAAGGCATCGAGAGCTCTTTTACAGCGCTCGCAGATGACGGATCACCGCTTTGCCATGTATCGCGTCTAGAGATGTCGCCAGTGCTCGGTGCGGAAACGAAGGACGAAGTGGAAAGGAAGCTGCTACATGGCTTTGACTGGAGGCCGCAGCTATCGCTCATGAAGCCAAGCCAACTCCAGGCGTGTTGCGAAGCTGATTACTTCGCGGATGATGAATCAATGCACGTCAAATTCATACTTGAGCTTGAGCAGACGATTCGCGCTGTTGTTCACCGCAACCTCGACCGGCTGGAGGACACGGACTGGTCTACAGCACCAACACACATGAGGAAATACCTATTATGGCTCAAGCTACACCTTGAGCACGTACCAGTACTTTCACGAGACGAAGTCACGGATGAAGAGCTGAATGAGAAGCTCAATCATACGAGTACGCGATTCCCGGACTGGAGAATGTTCATCGAGATAGCAGAGCATATTGTCCCGATCGTACGCGGCGACATCAATGCGCTCGAACTGCTTTTCTCCACGACCCTCGCCCAAGACATATACAAGGCCATGTTCGCGCCAGTGTACAATGATAAGTTCATCTCGTACCTCAGCCTAGTGGCACACGAGAACCCAACACAGAAGATCCTTGAGGTTGGTTCAGGGACAGGCGCTATGACGGATCACATCATTTCCACTCTTCGCGACGTCGAGACCCGTACCGGCGGTACAGCATTCTCTAGCTACACCTACACAGACGTCTCCCCAGGCTTCTTCGAGAAGGCACGCGAAAAGTTCTCTCACATCCAGGATCGCATGGTCTTCAAGACTTTTGATATCGAAAGCGACGTCACAAAGCAAGGATTCCAATCCGGTACTTACGACGTAATCCTCGCCGGTAGTGTCATCCATGCCACGAAGAACCTCGCCCTCACACTCCAGAATCTGAGACGTGCGTTGAAGCCCGGAGGCAAACTCATTTTCCATGAGACTACAGCGCCAGACTGCTTCCTCATGAACTTTGGCTTTGGCATACTGCCTGGCTGGTGGCTCAGCGAAGAGAAGTTCCGTACTTCCGGACCAACCATTACAGAACCGGAGTGGGATCGCTTGCTACGGGAAAACGGATTCTCGGGCAACGACTTCGTCATTCGCGATTATGAGGAGCCTGCTGCGCATCAATGCAGCGTAATCTTTTCCACTGCTGACGAAGACCTCCAACCCACGCAAAGAAGTGGTAGAATACTGTTCGTTGTCAACGATGCCAACCAGTCTCACTATGGTTTGGGTACCCAACTCTTGCAGCAAAAGACCCGAGCATCCCGTACGACGACAAGATTGTGCCTACTCACACAAGTTATCGGCGCCGACGTGTCAAGAGAAGACATCGTTGTATTTCTCGCTGATATAAGCGGGGATATTTTGATGTCCACATCAACTGAAGCATTCCAGCTGATTCGGGAATGGGTACATGCATCCGAGAATCTCTTGTGGGTCTCTTCTGCTATGCTTCCCAACAACACCGACTGCTCTCCTTATCCCTGTGCCAGTCTCAAGGATGGCTTTCTTCGGGCCATGCGGCTAGAGTTCGCTAACAAGCGTATCGTAACGCTCTCGATCGAGGACACGGTCCGCGACTGGATCAGCGGATGCGATGCCATCTGGGATGTACTTGACGTAATGTCCTCAGCGCAGTCGCCGGAACTCGAGTACGTGCTACGCGATGGTCACATGCTGACCGGGCGGCTCGTGGAAGAGAAGCATCTGAACATGGACTTGAACTCATTGGTCAAGCCACAGATGCGAACTGAATCCTGGCTTCCCGGTCCACCACTCAGGATCGAGATTGGAAGCAGAGGCTCTCTCGAAACATTGCATTTCGCAGAAGACACTGAACATTATGCTCCCCTCGGAGACCGAGAGGTCGAGATTGAAGCCAAAGCGTGGGGTCTGAACTTCCGCGATATGTTTCAAGCTCTCGGTCGGCTGGAAGAAGATACCTTTGGCTCTGACTGTGCTGGTATAGTCACACGCGTAGGCTCCGCCTGTACAAGGTTTCAACCAGGAGACCGAATCTGCGTTTGCGGAGTCGGATGCATGCGAATGTACCCCCGCGCCGACGAATGGGCTGCCGTTGAGATTCCAGAGGCCGTCTCGTTCGAAGAAGCGTGCGCAGTACTAAACTGTGGCATAACAGCCTATTACTCCCTGGCCGAAGTGGCGAGATTGCAAAAAGGAGAAAAGATTCTGATTCATGCTGCATCTGGTGCGACCGGTCAGCTTGCCATCCAAATCGCCAAATTGATAGGCGCTGAAATATTCGTGACCGTAGGCTTCGACTTTAAGAAGCAGCATCTCATCGACCTGTATGGGATTCCTTCCGACCACATCTTTTACAGTCGAAACACGACTTTCGCGAAAGGAATCATGCGTCTCACAAATGGGTACGGCGTTGACGTCGTGCTGAACTCTCTCGTGGGAGAGGGACTGCGTGCCTCGTGGGAATGTGTCGCACCATATGGCAGGTTTGTTGAGATTGGCAAAGCTGACATCAACGCCAATTCCTCACTCCCAATGGCGGCTTTTGCAAACAATGTCTCGTTCTTCGCGGTTGATCTGCGCCATATTGCTTTGAATCGTAAGCAGATGGGACGGGACTTGCTCCACAAGACGATGGATCTCGTCGGAGAAGGGAACATACACTGTCCGAGGCCATTGAACCTTTTCCCGGTGTCAGACGTTGAGGGCGCGTTCAGATATCTCCAGAGCGGGAAGAATACTGGACGCATCATCATCCAAATCGATCCTTCTGCAAAAGTGCAGGTACGTTTGTCAGGTCATAAGTATCGATCAAGACTAACTAGTTGAGAAACGCGTTCTCCGCCGTCGACCGTGGCAATTCGACCAGAACGCCAGCTATATCGTTGCCGGAGGACTGGGTGGCATCGGGAGATCTATACTCAAATGGATGGCCTCTAGGGGCGCGCGACATCTGATCGTACCATCAAGATCTGGTGCTTCTTCGGGAGCAGCTGCTGAACTGGTGAGCGAACTAGCGGAGCGAGGCATCAACGTGTGCACCCCGAAGTGTGATGCATCTAATGCAGAGTCGCTCTCTGATCTTCTCGCTGCATGCGCAAAGTCTATGCCGCCAATTCGAGGTTGCATCAATGCCACCATGATGCTGAATGTAAGTCTCTCAATGCTCACGCTCGAGAAATCGCTTACCAAGTCTCGTAGGACGCGACATTCGACAACATGAGTCACACTCAGTGGGTTCAGACTATCCGTTCCAAAGCCCACACTTCATGGAATCTCCACACCGTGCTTCCTCGAGATCTGGATTTCTTCATCATGTTATCGTCGGTGGCAGGCGTCGCAGGCAACATTGGTCAGTCCAACTATGCAGCAGGCTGCACCTTCCAAGACGCACTCGCACGTCATCGAGTCCAGCACCAGCAGCGCGCAACGTCCATTGACCTGGGTGTCATGCGCACCATCGGCATCGTCGCGGAGACTGAACGCTTACACGAGAACTTCAAAAAGTCCGGCAGTCTCGGTCAGATTGAAGAAGATGAGTTCCTAGCGGTGTTGACCATATACTGTGACCCAGAACATACGAAGACGCCGATGACAATAGACAAGAGTCAGATCGCCATGGGTCTAGTAACTCCCGTTGATCTGATCGAACGCAATTTGGAACCAGCTGAGGTGTTGCAGCGCCCAGTCTTCGCATCCTTCTCGCAAGCCCGTGGCACAAACCATTCCAACACACAGAGTAGCGTCAGTGCCGCTACGCTGTTCAATCTTGCGGAGGACGATGAGCAGCGAGTAGCAGTAGTCCTCGAGGCGCTGGCGCGCAAGCTCGCCCGCGCACTGTCCATCCCTCCAGAGGAGATTGACGTCAATAAACCCCTTCACGCTTTCGGGGTGGATTCACTTGTCGCAGTCGAGCTGCGCAACTGGATTGGCAAGGAGTTTGCTGCGGACATTGCGGTTTTCGATATCATGCGCGGTAGGACCGTGGCCGCAATCGGGGAGCTGATCACGAAGATGAGTCAACTCAAGCGGACGAAGAAAACTGTGGCCAGTCTTGAGGCAGATGCATGATGCGATAGACAATTTTCATGTTGCTTGAGGGATCGCTGCAGTGGGAACGCGGATGGCTGGGACTCCAGCCACTTCGTTACGATAGGGGCATTTGGCCCGTGGGTTCGGTCTAACCATAAACGGAATGTTATCATGACATCATAGCGAAGCACTCTCCCTGCTGTCTTTCTTCTCCTTGTGACGATCTAACCGCACCTCCAGCGGGCCCAAGTGCCGCTGTGAAGCTACTGTTCCTCTCAATACAGCGTAGAGGTAGATTCTGGTCAGCACCTCCGGCCTTCCATTCCGCTGCACACTCTGCGTCTGATCTTGCAGCGCTGCGTCCGTATTCACTGTCGGGTCGCTGGGAGATGTCGCCTTCATCGCTTTCTTGTCCTTGCATATCCAGACGTTGCCTAGCATTAACGCAGCGAGGATGCTGAGGGCTAAAAATGGCAAGATGGAGATGAACGACCAACTAATAGCGTTGGCGGCAGCAGATCGGAAGCGTTCCAGATCTTCCAACGAGAGGTCGCTGATAGCACTCAATGCGGTGGGTGAGTTGACGTCGAATCTAGATGATCCTTCGCTACCGATGAAGTAGGCCGACATCTTGTTCTGGAAGACCGAGCCCATCACCGTCAAAGCTATGGTTCCACCAAAAGGACCAGCGAAGCTCAAAAGGCCGAGAATGACAGCGATCTTGTCCCGGTACATTCCTGTCAGGTGTAGGTTCTCTGGCATAAAGCGGATACCAGTACCGAACCCGGCGACGCCCATGAGCACGTTGACAGCGGTCCTCTGGCGAGCACGTATAGCCCATGATAGTGCTCCGATGCTACCTGTCTCTACGATTGTACCGATCAATAAGGGCCAGATGGTCTGTCGAGGGTGTACGTTGCACATGATAATGGCAGTGTATACGCCGATACCGATCCCGGGAACGTAGAACAGCAGCTGGAGCCCAGCTTTACCAGCGTCGAAACCCTCAACAAGAGTGAAGTAGACACCGGCGAAGTAGAAGCAGGCGTAGAGAGCTGCACCTGTTGCTGCGGAAATGATACATACTAGGGTCACATCCTTCTCGTGAAAGAGTTGGTATGGCACCACGGGCATGATCCGCGGAAGCCGTTGCGCGAGATGTCGGCCCGGCGCCATGTATCGTTGGTAGACCACGAACACTACCAGCAATAACGGGCCGGTGATAAGCGGTATCAGAGCGGCTGGTGATGTCCAAGCATAAGCTGAGCCACCCCAACTGGTCGCCAGGATAATCAGCGCCACTCCAACGACGAACGTTCCCACGCCGATCAGGTCGATGCACGCGCATCCATCGAGGAAAGACCTAAGAGAAGTCTGACCCGACTGCGGATGAGCCACCGAGTACCTCCCCTTCTTCAGATCAGGTCGCAGGAACGCAATAGTGATGATGCTTATTGCGCTCAATGCGGACAAGAGCACAAAGACATATCGCCAATGCACATTCGTCATGTAGCCTCCGATCTGCAGACCTCGTTAGTAACGATATATCCGGCTGCTGAGAGTCATACCAAAGGCCCTGTCGCATACGCGATGCCAATCAAGAAGTGGAAGATACTTGTGTTAAACGCTTGCTCCTTCAGAGACACATTATCCGCCAGGATGATGAGGGAGCATGTAGACATGCCTGCCGTCCCCACGCCCTGGAGCGCTCGACCTAGCACCAAGACTGGCCAAACTTGTGCACTTGCGCAAAGGACGGCGCCCAGGGTCATGATAGTAACGGCAGATTGCAGAGCTGCGTGCCGCCCGAAGACATCTGCTAGTTGGCCGAACAAGGGGACGAACGCGGTGTCTGTGAGCGTGAAGGCTGTACCGATCCAGCTTATCTGGTTCAAAGCTTCTGCTCGATGGTGAGCATGCATACTGGCAGTGCTTGGCAGGAGTGCTCACGGAAATGAGACGCGATGAACGGTTGAGCTGTCGCGACTATAGTCAGATCCATACTCGCGGTATAGAAGCCTGGTAATAACAGTAGAAGAAACCTCCATCGCCGCGCATTAGTTTTCCATGCTTCTTTGCTGGTATTCGCAATGGTACTATCTGCAATGAACTCAGGTTGGTGTTCCTGATCAGTCTGTGAGGGTGCCGTCATCGTAAGGTGAAGAAAGTGCGGATCTTAGTTCTTGAAGACCTTGAAAGGTCTTATATAAAAACTGTATTGGTGTGTACATCAATGTATACGCTAATTCTGGCTTCGAAGCCCACGCCATTCTTATGAAGAATGTTGCACATCTCTACCATAGAGTGCCAAGTGTATTGGCGAAGTGTTGACGAGTGCGAGAGGTCGGTGGCGCAGGCCAAGCATGTCGCATTCGCTAGCACCGGGCGTCAGGTGCGAATATCAACCTAAATCCGCATTCGCTAGATCGCTCGCATTGAGGAAGCTGTATTTTCTGAGACATTCATATGACTGACGTCGACTTCGTGCGTCTCTCTTGTATGTTGCATATACTTGTAGTCGCAGCGTAGACATAATCTAGCAACATGATCTCTTATAAAAGCTTTCTTGGCTCAAACTAGTACGAGGGCTGAGCAAGATCATCGGAAGTGAGCGAACATCACCACAGACTGCTACTACATGATATTGAGACGAAGGAACGTTATTAACATTAGACTAAAAATTGACAAATACGATAGATGAAGGAAGTGAGCAATGCCGACCATTCTCAGCCTGGTCGTGAGATGATGTGAGCTCCTCGGACAGATCTTAAGTCTCTCTGGTAGTCGTTCATCCTTGCAGAGAAGATACGAACGAGATCAGTGACATTCTGATGAAACTTCTTGCGCTCAGCGTCGTTCGAGAACTCGAACCGGAGCCAGTACATGTCGCGCACACATACCGCACCCGTGTCAGATGACGACCAATGTGCACCGACAGCCGCCAGATTCCAGCTGTTGAGCCCCTTCTTCGCATAGAAACGACGTGCTAGCAGTGGTGTACCAGATCGCTCTAGCACACTGACTGTACAGCTGGCTTTGGTGCTTCGACAGTCGCAGCTTTTTGGCTCGATCTTCGTACGTTCGTCGAGCTCAATGACTAGAAAAGATAACTGCCCTGTATCTGGCTGCTTGAGAAACACCACAAGTAACGGTGGCTCTGGTTGTGTCAATTGTACTGCCCTGACTGCAGAGCCCAGGGATATTTCCTGTGAATGAGCGCTGGAGATGTTGCTCATGATGCTCGACGTCGAGGTGAAAGTCCGTTCGCTGAGTGGCTCAGGACTCCATGCACCCGATACAGTTTCTGAAGAATTTAACAGGTCTTCTGACGACCTGCTGTATTGGTGTTGGGACGCAGGTCTCTTTTCGAAAGAAGCTTTCTGCCACAACTGTATGTTTCCTATCTCAGCCAGTACGTCGGTGGTCTTGCTTGGTCTACGTTCGGATGCGCCACTGTTCGTTGGGAAGCCCTGCCCTTTCACAAGGGATGTGACTATCACAGTTCTCCTTCAAACGTGTCAGTCTCATGCAAGCATAGAGTTTAAGTGCTGCTTGCGCGACAAGTTTGGTAGGCTATTAGCTACCCACCTTTGATGTACGCATCTGTAGCCCGTAATGAGGTGTTGCAATCTGAACAAGTCGGCACATGAGCGAAACTCGGGAGTCAGGCCATTTGTGTCATCAGGCGAGCTCTGCAGCTTTACGCTACAAGAAGCATCTTGCGAGCCTGGAACTTTTGGTATTGCATACACAGGGACCAGGAAAATCTTCCTTGGGTCAAGGTTGAGTCTTTGTGTTACTCTGTCCCTGGAACTGCCGCCAGTGCATGATGTTGAAATCGTGGTGGTATCTTCCACTCCCAATGTCCCATCCATGTTACGCACTACGCGAAAGGCATGTGTCTGCGTACCGGAGACAAGCGAGATGTCTAGAAGAACTCCAAGGTTCGTTTCGTGCGCGTTATCGTTAATGGAGATAGGTCTCGGCCATATAGCAAGCATTTCCTTGGGAGACCGCATGATGGTAGATAGTCGGGGGCGCGCGATTGGACTGCTGGCGATTCGAGCGCACTCTATGCGAAGTCGTCGATCCATTTCCCTGATGCACCTATCGTAGAGACCGCCTGGATTCGAGCTTTGAATACTCGACCAATCGTGTCCTTCCCTAATCTTGTCCATTAGCCATATGCTTTTGAGAAGGCGAAGATATGATGTCGCATCTCCATCTGTATAGACGCCATTAAAATGGTTGCAAAAGGCTTCTAGGCCTTCTCTGACTGATACTTGCGGCCCGTCAGATGTTTTCTCCCAGTCAAACGTATGCAATAAGGAACGTTGCTGTAACTCCGCTGTGAAGCGCTCGGCAAGCTCGACAGGAACTTCTATATCGCGCTTGAGAACCTGGTGATACGTATCGGTGCTTGAATTGCGGCCAGCAACAAGTATGTGCTTCAGCTCCTGAATTCGCTCCGCCAGGTCTTGGTGTTGTTCATTGTGGAGATCCCGCAGCTGTGTTTGGACATGAATGTTGAACGCGTCGAGAACGAGACCAATCTTGACGCTGTGATATTTCAAACGCTCAGTCAAATCTCTGACCTGCGCATCCGTATTCAGGTTGTAGATGATGTTGGTGATGAAGCCGTCTTTGCCAGTACGAAATTTGCTGACGTCATTGAGCAACTGCTGACACTGTTCCAGCGTCAAGCGGAAGTTGCCCACGATATCGATCAGCGCTGTGGTATCATATAGTTCAGGTCCATAGCTCTCGAGCCTTTCGTTTTCTAAGCCGGTGTTCGCGGTTCTGACGATGGATTCGATGGTGTTGAGACTCCAGTGCAGCCGGAACAACGCGTCGCCAAACTCAAGATACCGTCGCGCTAAAACAATACGGTTAGCGCGGAACGTGGGTGGGGTGGCTGGGAGGACAAACGCAGCGACTTCTCCTCCGTGAACCCCTTCTCGTATATGATCCACGATAATTTGATGGCACCGCAAACAAAGCTGAGTACACCGAAATCCCACGGCATGTTACCGACAGTT